GAAATCAAGAAAGTTTATCTCGGATAAAGAGAAGACAAGAAAGTGATCAAACGTAAAACCATAGGATTTTCACTATAAAAGAAACTCAGTCTAGCCGAGATGTGTTGATAAAAAAGAAAGAAGCACAAATCTTGATAAAGGAAATTCAAGAAGGGACCTTCAACACCTATACAATAGAGTAGTGCCTTTCTAGTATATGGGATGGAGGTAGTGTTACCTACTGAAGTGAGAATATCTTCCCTAAAGGTACTTATAGAATGGATTTGATTAGCTAAATCTCATCAAAAGGTCGAATGCCATATGTCAGGGGCAGACCTATCAAAAAGGGTTAATAGGACTTTTGATAAGAAAATTCATCCTCAAAGAATTCAGGAAGGAGATCTTGTTCTAAAAAAACCTTGTACTTGCTAAAACAAATAGGGAAATGGGCACCCAACTATGAAAGTCCTTGTGTGGTCAAACGATTTTTCTTTAAAAGAACGTTGGTCCTCACCAACATGGATGGTGAAAGGGCTTTCCTACCTAGTGAACTCCGATGCAGTGAAGAAGTATCATGCCTAAAAACATCACTTGCGAAAACTCGCTAGGATGAAAACCCACAAAGGACATCCTAGGCAAAAATTAGCACAAAAGAAAAAGTGCAAAAGTCTTTGCTATGATACATCCTAGGCAAAATTTAGTAATTAGAAAAAACAAAAAATAACAAGCCACGACTATTCAAGTTGAAAAAAAAAAAAAGGTTTGAATACTTCTTCAAGAGGCCAAGGCTCATTGAAGATTCTGCCTGAGACTTAGACATGAAGTCTAGGATAATTAAGAGAATGATTATGCTGACTATCCAAAGAAGTGTTTGTTTAAAACTTAAACATTAACTTACCATTATAATCAACTTAAAACAATATAATCAACTTCAACAATTATAATCAACTTAAAACATAAAACAACATGCTAGGTTCCTACTTAAAACATAACCACAACTTCAATCAACCACAACTTACAACATCAATCACAACTTACAACATGCATAACATTCTCAACATAAGCAACTTCAATCATAACTTAAACAACTAATGTGTCATTACGCGTATCGACTTATGGAAATCTCCTACAACTGAAGTGAGCAATCTAAGTAGTTTGATCCTATCGAACCATAACACTTGACCTACCTTCTCCAGGTCAATTATAGACAACTCCTAGCCTTTTTGTCCACCTGTTTAACAACTTATTTTGGTTTCTCAGGTTTTGTCACTTAAACTACGAAAGTTCAGTACTACTGTCAAGGATAGAACAACTTGGATGTGAGCCTACAACAACCTTAACATGCATTACTAAGTCTATATAGAATTAGTTTGTCAAATACCTTTAAAATATTGTGCACCTTTCCAATAATTAGTTAAGGATTTTATCCCTTAACTTCATACCTTACTTAATTGGTCACTTCTAAACTAGTATGACTCGACTTGACCCTTATACTATTCTACATAAAAACCTAAAGGAGAAAACTTAAAATAACTTCTCATTCAAGAGGCAACTTACTCGTTGGAGGGTTTTCAACTTTTGCCTCTCGAAGCATCACAACTTATATCTACACAATGGAAAATTTTAATTTATAAAACAACTTTATTCTCCTTTAGTTTTCATGTATCTCAACTAACACATGTTCACATGTCCACACAATTTATCATCATGCAACTTAACAACTTGATCAACTTACTTCATACCACTTAAGCAACATACAACTTAATCAACTTCCAACACTAGGAAACTTCCAAAATAAACAACTTAAAAGATCATTTTATATAACCATAAATCAATACATAATGAATTGAAATTCAATCATCAACATATATAAGGTAAACCATCATCATAGTTCAACATTTAAATCAATGAAGTTACAATTTCCATTCAGCATAACCACACTCGATGCTGGTGAGGCAAAAAGCATCTACCTCACTCACACCTAACTCCATTCCACTTTTTCCTAATGTAAATGAGACAAGGAATCTTTGTGTACACCATGCCCAATGTTACAAAACCCACATTTGATGCCATTTAGGCATAAAGTCTTTGTTTGACCCATGCCTGATTCTACAAAACCTATGCTCGATGTCATTTGGGTAGAGAGCCACTAACTTGATCACGCTCGACACTATCAATCCTACGCTTGACATCACCAAGTCAAAGAATCCCTTGAGAAATCATGCTTGACGCCTCTTATTCCATGCCCTAGATGGCCAAGTCAAAGAGCTCTTAACTAACTCACACTTGGTGCTAACAATCCTGCGTCTAGGTCAATGAGGCAAAGAGCCTCTGACCTGCATCACACTCGGTGCGTTAGTGATTTTTGCACATGGGAAAATCACAAATTTGGCTCAAAACTTGCAATAACTCAAAGCCAACTAGCTTGCAACCACAATTTCAATATATATATAACATATACAACTCAATTCCAACAAAAAGAACAACATGCAACCTTTAAGAACAAGAATCACCAATTCATTTCAAAGACACCTTCAAAAGAAACACTTAAGGAAAAAATCTCTCATCTCATAATTCAATCAAGTTCAACCATCAAAATGAATCATCCCAAGCATAACTCAAGATTTAAACATTAACAATATCAATTAACAAACTTCCCTTACCTTAAATCACTCCAAAAAGAAAAGAGGAGAATTCTCGAACTCCCCGCATAGCGACTCGACCTTAGTTTCTCAATTCACAAGCTTTGAATTTACCAATTTATTGTTACTACTCAGCTAAGGGAAGGATCTAGAAGGTTCTTGCAAAATCAGAAAGAGAACGATCTTTCTAGCTCCATAGCCTATCTCTCTAACTTTTCTCTAACTTTCCTTAAGATATGAACTTATGAATATCACATATTAAGAAAAACCTTGAATACCTTGCCCTAAACTTGGTCAACTTGACCCTAACTAAAAATAACTTCAATACAACTTAATTCTCAAGGATCCCTTGACCCTTAAAGTGTGTTTGGATGGAAAATTTAAATGGAGTATTTCATTTGTTTGAAGAATTTCAATTCCTTGAGGTTAAATGTTTTGTTTTGATAAAAAATTTACAAAGAATTTGAAATCCAAGCATATGTGAAATTTCTTAAAATAATAAAATTTCAAATTTTTCCAAAAAATGAAGAATTTGAAGTTTCTCAGTTTTTTTTTATTTTACTTATATATTTTATCTTATCTCTTATCTCTTCTTGCGTTTAATTATTGAATATTCAAAAATATTTTTAAAATTATTAAATATTATCTAATATTAATTTTTAAAATCAATAAATATTTAAAATTGGCAAATATTTTTTTATAAAATTTAATTTAAAAATACCAACATATGAAGATAATTTTAAAATCAATTTTACCAAATTAAATTACCATATCCAAACTAAGAATTTAAAATTTAATAAATTTAAATTGACTTATTCAAACAAAATATTTTAAGAATGATAATCAAAATAATTCAAATGTCAAGAATTTTAAATTTCTCATCCATACACACCATTAGAGTTTTAAAACAACTATAAACACAATATACCTACAATTAAACAACACATATCATAAAATGTTTAATTAAAGCATATAAAACATGTGTTACAGGACCTCTAGAGAGCAACATGTGCTCTCCGTGGGTTTGGCACTAGGCATTAGGTGAGCCTTGTTGGGTGCCCTCGTGAGGTTATATAAGGTTGTATGTGGTTCTTGAGTATTTTGATGATGTTTGACTTGAGAACATTACATTAATATCAATATGAATATGGTAGTGATCTTATTATGATATAAGTGTATATTTTAAGGTTAAATTTTGATGAATTGAATTGCTAATTGAAGTGCACATGGGAGTGACACGATGATGATGTGTTATGTGAATGATATGAGCATGTGATGAATTCATGAGGTGAAGTGTTGCATAGAGTGTTATATGGGTGACATGCATCACATACATAAAATACTTTTTATCGTCCATAAGTACTACCTTTTCAAGCTATGAGTATTAGTCTTTAGGCTACGAGTTGTAAGTTTTATTGGTACTACAGGCATGAAGATCTAGATAAGTTTGTGTCTATTGCATCAAGTGCGTGTGTTGTGAATGTTTATGTACTGATTTAACACATTATTATTATTATTATTTGTAATTATGTTGTATTGTTTATCTTCTTAATATTATTAATGCATGTTACACAATTTATTTATGTGTTTGTGACTCCTTAGTTTTTTATCTTACATTGGGAGCTAGGATGAGACATATCTTACTTCGTTTGTTTTGTTTATTGTTATATATGTATATTTTGCATGTAAAGATTATGAAGATAATGATATCAATGACGAGAGTTAGACCTTATCATTTTTATGAGTAAAGCTATGATAAGATGTGACATCAGAATTCTTAATTTAATTTAAGATCGTTACTAATTATTCTTGATTATTTCATTTTGGCTTATGATATTTGTTAATTGTTGAATTTACGCAATAATTTTTTATGACCATTTTGATGTAGTTTTTTTATACCCTTAAAAATTGTTTCATTTCAAATACGGACGTGAGTCTATCGACAAGACGTTTATGAACTACTTTCAATTATTTAAGGTAATATTTATTATAAAAAAATATTATTTTATTGTAATTAGCAATGTAGCATAGAGTAAAGGTTACAAAAGGAAAAATTTACTGGGCAGGAAAATGACTATATTATCACCGTTATATAAAGAACGTATAGCTTATTTTAATTATTGAAATGATATATTAATTAAAAGTAATATTAAAAATTGAAAGGATAAGTTTTTGCCCTTACGAATGAGAACACCCCTCATCCGCCACATGTCCCCAACCTCCAAACGGCCTCCTCTCATTATCATAAGTGCTCTTTATTTTTTTCTCTCTTTAATATCAAACACAAAATGAAGAACCCAAAGTTAACAAAAAAATATATATATATATTTAAAAAAAGTAAAGTGTATATTTATAGAAAAAATCTTGATAGAAAAAAATCTGTTGAAAAAAGAAAAGTACCAAAAAATGACAAAAACAGTGAGGTGCAGGGAGCTGCAGTGTCAGAAGTAGCTAACTGAGACATGACTGGTCACACAGGAAGAAAGAAAAGAAAGCATCAAACTATGAAGGCAATTAAGGACCGTTGATTCTGCTTCCATTTTGTGACAGCAATGGTGTCATCGAGAGAACACAAACCTTCCTCTTCCTCGCACAAACCCATCATGGAAGATGTTTGGGAAGACATCGACATCGACATCAACATCAACATAAACCTCAACCTCACACACGCCGCTTCCAAAGCTGCTAAATTTCAAGACTTCCTAGCACGACCCTCGCCGCCACCTTCTCCTCTCACTGCGCTCAGCCTCGCCACGCGCTCCGAGTCCCACATCGACCCTCTCGCGCACAACGACCTCAAGCTCGCCCTATTACCTTACCCCTCCAAGGCTCAACCTCAACCCTTCCCCAACCGGACTCCCACGTGCGACTCCTCCAAGAGGCCCCTCACGTGCGCCGCCGCCTCCGGGGACACGCGCAACGTGCGCTTGATGAAAAACCGGGAATCTGCTGCAAGATCGAGAGCCAGAAAGCAGGAAAATATTGCTTCTTTTAACGTTGTTTTTCTTTTTTTGTCTCTGTCCTTTTTTTTTCTTATTTTGTTTTGTTTTTTTTCTTCTTTTTTTGGTGTAGGCTTACGAGTTTGAGTTGCGGCAAAAAATCAAGCAGTTGCAAGAGGAGAACGCGAGACTGAGGAGACAGCAGCAACTGGTTCGTTTCGTTTCGATTCTTTCCGTACGATGCATTGTTTCCCATTTTCTAAATCAACTTCACTATTACACTGTTAATTGGAAAACGAAGGAAAGAAATTGGACAAGCATTTTCCTTTTTTGTGAAAAAAAGGTAAAGAAGTTTTGTGGATAAATCTTTTTGGAAAAAATGGATTATGGTTTACTTTTATTAATAATTTTTTATTTTATAATTTTGTAGATGTGTGTGTGTGTTAAAAGGTTTCTTGTTGACATTTTTTCTTTTATGTTTGTATTTGTTTTGTTTAAGAAATTCATAGGTCGTTTTAATTCTTGTGTTAAATGAAATAATTTAAGAATTAATTTTTTTGTCTCAAAAAAATTAAATATAATAATTGATATTTTATAAAAATTCTCTCGTTCGTACTTTTATATTTTCTATTTCTCGATAAATAATTAAAATATACTAAATTATTAAAACAATATTAAATACTTTATTAATATTGAAATTGATAACTAAATAGAACTCTTTGCTTTTCGTTAAACATCAAATAAAATGAGATAAGGAAGTATAATTATTTTTTATTGAAAAACATAGTAATAGTTTTCATAATGTAATTTTCAATTAAAATATATA